GCCAAATTGGGAGAACATCTACTTTATATTGTACATGTTCTCATTCACATAGCACAACTAAAAATAAGCTTAGCTTATGCTATGTGAATAGGAATACATTGCAAACATATAGCGGGGTTCCCAAATTTGACTCCCGAGGTGGAAATACACTTGAAAGATTTGTAAAGGCTTGCTGTAGACATTGTTCTTCAGAATAGCATTGCAAGCTAAAAAAAATAAAATTAAAATATACAAAAGTGAAATTCCTGCCACAGGGCTGTAACGTCAAGCTGTTTGAAAGCAGTGATCCAATTATGTGAGCTGGAAATAAGATGTCTAGAAACATCCTGTGCACAGAAAGTCTCGGGTTGCTAGGGATGCACCGATACAGAGTACTCGTACTTGCCCAAATGTTCCTGATACTTATCCGCATACTGGAACTTCTGGATGTCTGATTGGTCGGGAAGCTGGCCAATCAGCAAGCCGGTCGGCGAGTCATTACACGCCGCCTGGCTTTTTAATAGGACTTCCGCTATAAAGATTCCGTATTGGCACGTACCGAATTTTTTTTTATTGTTAATCGAGAAAAATCTGTATCGGTGCATCCCTACCACTTGCCATTCTTAGATGGAAGCAGCATTCCACTTTTTTTCTGGAAGTTTTAGAAAATGGCTGATTGCAGATTAGAATGTAGAAGGATCATTTCAATAGCATTACATTGAAATTCCAACTGTAGCAGGTCTATGTTTTTTGTTTTTTTGCCTTGTGCTCGGATGCTGGGACCTTACCCAAAAAGCACGAGGGTGAGCGATCACCGAACAGACCCATTACAAGTCCACAGATGCTGGTCATAGTAGAAAAACATGGGAACATTATTGAATGACATTAAGGCCATTATTTACCTGTTTGTTAGAGGAGGAGGCATGGCTAGTGTGCAGCATGTAAGCCAGTGAATGGCAGCTTCCTTTTAAAGATGAACTCTAGAATGAACATACATTTTCTGAATCCAAGATCCATGAGTCTTCTTGAATATTGGTGTCCTTTGTTTATTCCTTCCAGATTGATCAGGAATCCTCATCAATAAAGACCAGTCTCTGCTGCTCTCTCCTTGTGCAGGGTGACTGGTCTTGTTTCCACCCCCTCCTGTCATTTTCTGCAGGCAGCCTGTAGTGGGTGAACCTGCTCGGCCCCTCCCACAGCTCTGCTTTTGCACAGGCTATGTACAGCACAAGGATGATGCCACCACTACTTTTACAATGTAATATTTGGGTTTGCAAAGACATTTGGTGCACACAGAGTACATTTTATAGACTTTGTGACTATTGAGGAACATATTTGCATGAAATCTTTCCTGCCTGGAGTTCAGCTTTAACAGTCAGACACACACAGTCCTTCACCCTGCAAACTCACTCTTGTAGAATATAGACACAGCAAGTATTATGTTTATACCACAATTGCCAGGCACTGCCAACTCCTCATCACCCTGCTGGTCTGGCCATCATACTGCCGAAATGTAAGCACGGTCATAAGGAAATGGACGGATTTGTTCAAAATGATGATCTGAGAGCATCAGTGCGTGTGGGAACTGTTGTCTGTACTCTTGTGGGAGAGATTCCCTGGTGACATCATAGCTTATACATGAGGCAGCTGAATATCTGTCTTCTGGGAAAAGAGAACAAAATTAACGTTTCCACTTTCCCCACCCATAATCAGCTGTTCATTCCAGTGTCTCCTAGTGGAATGCATATTTGTACATGCAGACAGTCTATTTTCCAGTTGTAAAAGTCATTTGGTACGTACTAAAGCCACTGTAATGAGCCTTCATAATACATTAGTCTTGGTTGGCAGTCATCAGTACGCTGTAAATAACCATGTATTGTATACACAGCAGTTCCAAATGGCTGGAACTCTTCTTGGTGGCCACTATTTGAAAACAAAGCAAGAAATCTGGCTTCTGTGGCTCAGGGTTCCACTTTGGCTCCTCTTTTCAATAATTGGTTAGATACCGCAAGGTTCCTCCACAGTGAATTGGCCACACATACCTGTGTACATCGATGTGTCTAGTAATGCAGTGTCATTTTGTTGTTCTCTCGTTCTTCTACATTTCATTGAACGATCCCCTGACTCTTGTGATAGTTTAGTATTCCTAGGTTACAGAGCAGGGCTTTCATGGTGGCACAGAAACGGCATGAGGTTCTTTCACCACTATTTGCACATTTCTACATTATTAA